CTCCTCCTCCTCCTCCTCCTCCTCCTCCTCTTCTTCTTCTTCTTCTTCTCCTCCTCCTCCTCCTCCTCCTCCTCCTCCTCCTCCTCTCTTCGAACCCCACACCCTTCTAACACTGATGATGTTACTCAGTTGGGTCATGAAATGTCTGCAAGGAAACCACTAAGCTCAGAGAGCACCAAAGACCCCAGTCACGACCACCACTCCTCCTCCTCCTCCTCCTCCTCCTCCTCCTCTTCTTCTTCTTTTTCTTCCTCTTCTTCTTCTTTCTTCCTCTCCTCCTCCTCCTCCTCCTCTCTTCGAACCCCACACCCTTCTAGCACTGATGATGTTATCCAGTTGGGTCATGAAACGTCTGCAAGGAAACCACCCTGCTCAGAGACCCCCAAGGACCCCTTGTTTTCCACCGTGAACCCAGGGGCACTGATGAGCAATCTTCTCCATAGTGCCCCCTCCCCCCAACCTGTGGGCCGCCCTCTTCCTTGAAGTGAGAGGCATCCCATTTCGTGCAAAGCCTCCGGACTCCAGGAGGTTCATCCAGAGCAGACGAGCAAAGGCTAGAAAGGAGGGTGTCTTCTTTTTCAGAAGGGGGTCTCCAGGGCAGGGCTGAAAAGAAGAAAGAGGAATGTCGGCCTCACCTGGAACCGGCGCATATCTCGGGGGTTGCCTGCATTCTTCAAGCAGTTCTGGTTGCATTTGAGGAAGAACTTGAGAAAAAATCTAGAAAGAGGAGAGAATAGAAAAAAGCAACATTAACTGCTTTCAGGAATCCTTATAAGAGTTTCACCACCGGCTTCCTCAGAACTGACAAAGGATCTCAGTGATTCCTTCCTTTTTTCCTTCCTCCCTCCCTCCCTCCTTCTTGCTTTCCATCTTTTCCTTCTTCCTACCTTGCTTCTTTTCTCAACTCCCCTTTCTTTTGTTCTTTCTTTCTTTCTTTCTTTCTTTCTTTCTTTCTTTCTTTCTTTCTTTCTTTCTTTCTTTCCTCTCTCTTTTCTGTCCTCCCTCCCTCCCTCCATTTATTCCTCTCCTTCTTTTCCTTTTTCCATCCCTTTTTCTTTCTTTCCTACCTTTTTTTCCTTCCATTTCTCTTTCTTCCTTTCTCTTTTCCTTCTTCCTTCCCTCTTCCTTCCTTCCTTCCTCCCTCCCTCCCCTCCCTTGCTTTCCCTTTCCCTTCTTCCTACCTTGCTTCTTTCCTCAACTCCCTCCCCTTTTTCTTTTTCTTTCTTTTTTCTTTCTTTCTTTCTTTCTTTCTTTCTTTCTTTTCTTTCTTTCTTTCCTTCCTCCTTCCTCTCTCTTTTCCATCCTCTCTCCCTCCATTTATTCCTCTCCCTCTTTTCCTTTTTCCATCCCTTTTTCTTTCTTTCCTACCTTTTTTCCTTCCTTCCTCCCTCCCTCTCTCCATTCCTCTTTCTTCCTCTCTCTCCCTTTTCCTTCTTCCTTTCCCCTTCCTTCCTTCCTTCTTTTCTTCCTTCCTTCCTGCCTGCCTGCCTGCCTGCCTGCCTTTTTCTCCATGAATTATCAACTGTTCCTATCTGCACTTTCCCAACTAGATTGAGCTGACTTTTGGTATTTCCTGCTTCCTGTCCTCCCCCAGGGGGAATGTCCACATAAGCTACGGCAAAACCAATAACCACGCAAATCCATGGCCATACAGGAGTTGAATCTCCCGACCTGTTTCCAAACAGGAAGCTGAAGATAAAAAGGAGAGGATGGTGATCATTATCAGGAGTGGCGTGTGGAGCCTAATGTGCAAAGACGCATCATAACTCAGGAACTGATCTAGCTGGCTAATTTCAGCTGAATTAAACTTGCCCTACACAGCATTTCAAAGAATTGCCCCTCGTTTAGGATTCAAATACAGTGCTTCTTTTCAAGTGGGTAACAAACGTGGTTTGTTCCACTCGCAGCTTGGCCACAGTGCACAATAACTGCAGAAAGCAGCTTTAATGAGAAGCAACATTAACACCCCCCCCTTAATTTCAAAGCCCCTTAGTTATAGCTAATTTGTTCTAAAAGCTACCAGTGAATTCTAGGAACACCTTCCTTAGAAAACTGCTTGTTGCTCATTAAATTAATACCTCTATTAAGTTGTCACCCTGTTTCTTTCCTAATGTAAGCCAGATGCCTTTAAATTTTTTAGAATTAGCTTAGTTACAGATAGTCCTCAGGTTATGACTATCCTTGAGGCCCAACATTTATGTTGCGAAGTGAGACATTTGTTAAGTGGGTTTTGCCTCATTTTACGACCTTTCGTTGCCACATCCGTTCAGTGAATCCCTTCAGTTGTTAAGTTAGTAACATGGTTGTTAAGTGAATCTGGCTTTCCCCCCCCCCCCCCATGGACTTTGCTCGTCATGAGGTCGCAAAAGAGGATCG